ACATAATGTCTACTGTTTACTCATCAGCCTATCAGAACATCTTTTATTTAACCGTCAGTTTGTCCTAATGTTTGCTATCATCTATTCGCCAGTTTCTCGGAATTCTTGTTTCTACTTGTTACTTTCTCTGTCCACTAGTCCGTCAGAATGTCTGTTAGTTTATCAGAACGTCTGTTATTTATCTATCAGTGTGTCAAAATGTCCCCTATCTATCCACCAGCCTTTCAAAATGACTACTATTTATCTGTCTGCCTCCAAAAATATCTAGTTTTATCTGTCAAAATGTCAGAACGTTACCCTGGTTCCTCAGTTTATTAGAATATTATATTTATCCGTCAGTCTGTCAGAATTTTACTATCTATCCGTCAGTCTGTATAAGTGCCAATTTTATTCACGTGTTTCTTTCAATGGTTACCATTACCCGTCAATCAGAATGGCTACTAACCGTTAGTCCGTCCGAATTTTTCTATCTATCTATCTATGATCCTGCTTCTCTGTTTGGGTTTTTATATAACTGTCTGTTTTGACAATTTATCCTTTTTCGAAATGTAAATATATATATATATGCGTTTACTGTATATATATCGCCTTTAGCGTATTAAAGTTTGCATTTTTATCAACAGGGGGCTGTGGAAGATTAGTTGAAAAAATGTTTTTTTTTATATATGTCAAGTATAAAACATCTGGTTATCATTATGACAGATATATTTAAATGTCTAGCTGCTTAGAGAAAACCTACAATTTATATAATTACATTCACAATAAAATCAAAACCAATGTACGGCTTTTGACATGGATTTCTTTCCGTTATCAAAAATATGTACATGCAATAGAAAAAGTGTGACGTTCAGTGAAGAAAGACGATACATTAATTTTACAGGGATAAAGAGACTGGCAATTTAAAAATAAATTAAAGACAGGCCTCATGATAGAAAGAGAAAATGAAGACAGGCCTCATGATAGAATTAATATTGGTATTTACGTTTTCATTTGTCGTAAAACTAAGAAGGAACCATTATTTAATTATTCTGAATATTATTTTTACTCAGTGCTCATGTCCAATTGTACAGTGTGTCTGCTATTTGCCATATTATTTATGACCTACTTTTGTTCTCTTTCTTAGTCCCCTAGCGGTATTTAGTGAAAACTAAGAAAAGATATTAAGTAGAAAAAGATATAAAAGGGACGCATTTTCAAAGGAATCAAACTTCCCACAGCTGAGCAGAATAAAGAGCTCAAAGTAATTAAATTATATGGAAGTGAGTAACCCATCAATTATTAGGAGTTTATGTCGGTGTATTACCTTGCAATCTGAGTAATGAATATCATAATTCATTCATTGAGCTGTGGTCTTCGTTCACAAGCAGATTCTTTCATACTTTCACAGCTGGCATGGGTTAAGATTTGGAAGACACTCACTCCAGAACAGTTGAATTAGCTTCCACTTTTATAAGTACACAAGATTGTGAATTTAGACTGATAATTTAACCCGGTAAATGGCAGGAACACTTTTCGTAAACTGAAAAAAAGATTCAGCTTATTAACATACTAAGATTGCAGCTGAGTCAAGGTAACAAGAGGTATAAGTGATAGCCAGGTATATTGACTTGTCAACTTAGCAGCCGTGACTATGGGGTTAACCCTTTTGTTCGGATAGAAGATTGCTCGCTTGGTACGTGAGAGATTCTAATTCGATCGTACAATATGCAATAATTGGATTATCGCATAAATGTTTAGTTAAACCCAAACTGCACCCATCCCATCATGTACAAGTTCTTTCTTAAGTTCTCTTTGTAGAAGGTTCGGTATAAATCTTTGCAAATTTGTTTGACATTTATATTTTATAAGTCACAGTGTTGTTCTTATTAATAAACGTCGCTAGTATAACAACCCATTCTAATGATTTTTATGGAAATTTAAGCATTTAACAATGTAAGGCCCTCATTCTTATTCACATATCTAACACGACCCAACGGTTATTTGTTTGGTCAGGATTTCTGTTATCTGTTTTCAACAGAGTACACAATGAATCCCTGACTTATGTCTCGTATAAAATCCTTTCACAATGGATTCAGCATATTGGTAGTGTTCTTTACGGTTGGTTGTTTTTTTTTTTTTGTTGTTGTTGTTTGTTTGTTTTAGCTAAAAGCAACATTAAACTACCGCGCAAAATCGAATTCCGGATTTTAGCGTTGTAAGTTCGTAAACTTACCGTTGACCCACCGGGGGACAGTATTCTTTATGGCTACCAGTCTCTCTTATTACTTGGAGAGAGGCGTGTTGTTATTATATAAGATTTGTACGTGTTTTTTAACGATGTTGTGAAACCGTAATGAATCTCCTAGGCTAATTTGAGCCACTTTTAGATTTCCCGTGTGTGAAAAATGTTGTGTGTTCTAAGATCCCATTAATCAGATAATGTATGGTTTTTAGGAAAACTAAAATGACCTTTATAAAGGAAAGAAAAACGCCACTCTGCTACAGTTCTACTGGCTCTTGTTCTTTCAGTAACAGTTATCTTTTTTTTTTACGTGATCGTTCCGTGCAAAGACAAAAGTGCTATTCTGTTTGAGTAATAACAATCTTAAGTTGTGTTTCTTGTGATAATTAGAGCCTTCACTGATAACCTCAATTGTTTCTTTGAAAATAAGACGACAATGGTATCAAAGAACACTTGAAGTAAACAAGTATATCTTATACATCTGAATGTTGTGTAACTCGTTAACGTTATAATCTAAGTGGTTACAGTTTCTATAATAAACACTCCAATATCCAAAGAACAAATGTTTGTATTACTGATTGAATTAAGTGATGGATGCAGTAGCTGGCCTGGTTGTATATATTTTTATAGATGTCGCGTCGTATTTTGTAAAAATAAAAGATATCAAATGATAATTTTGTACTTCAAAACGTGTGTCTGGATACAACGATATTATCTACTCGAAATTATTTATTTTCACTGAACTACGCTTTCCTCTGTCGCTGATGCTTACAATGACAGCCTTCCATCTACTGTCTCTCATTTTTTAAGTCGTCCCTAAGGGCTTATGAAAACTAGCTGTAAGTATATAAGATGCGCCCCAAAATAATTTCTGCTAACCACTGCTACGCTATTTTGATCTTCGTCAACCTCTTGAATTATTTTCCCAACACGTGCAGCGTCTGTTTCTTCAAAGGTTGTTCTTGATGCAGACAACGCCGAGTGTCGTCCAGTGGTGAAACATATTTTGTCTAATCTGACTAAAATGTTACAGCGTCTGTTTCTTCAAAGGTTGTTCTTGATGCAGACAACGCCGAGTGTCGTCCAGTGGTGAAACATATTTTGACTAAAATGTTAACTGAGGACAAAACAATTAAGTGTCTTCTGTCTAAAAAAAAAGAAAAGTCCAATATGCTGGCACATTTATATTTGTTGCATTCACGTATATACACGTAGAAACTTGTTTATTACTGTTATAAGATAGGTGTAAAGAACATTGGTTGGGGTTGAAAGAAATGAGAAAGCGACCGGCGTTTGTCAGTCCCTAAAGGGATTACAGTACTTTAAGCCGTCAGGAAATGATGAAAAGGAGCGGCTACCTTTCTCGTTCAGCGACACGGAGACAACGGGAACTCTATGATTGTGAAACGTTATAATCAAAATAGTATACAAGGTCAGAAAGAAAGAGACTTGTTCAATGTGTATTTGAAAAAGACACTTGTTAAACCCAAAGAGTTGAACGAAAAGAAGAGGGAACAGGTGATGTGAGAGAAACCGAATAAACCGAGAGAAGAAAGAAACAAAGCGTAACTCTAAATCTATGTACTGTTGATTATAGTAATAAACAGCAAATTTGTTATATATATTATATTAGTGAGTCAATTTCTGATAAAAATAAGTACAATCTAAAAGCACTGATAAACATAACCAGGAAGAGAATAGCACGATCGTAATAAAGTGGTGTCAAAATTGGACGATCCACAACAATGACGACGTTTTATGTACAGTAATGTGTTAATATAAACATAGGTTTCCTTGATGTTAGGTCGAACAGAGTTCGACTCCACATGTGTTATTTATACAGTGACTTTTAAACCCCATTAAACATTTTTCAAGTTACGTTTTTTATACCCTGATCTATCTGTCTGTCTATATATACACACACACACACACTATACATCTTATGTCAATAGTGTTTTTTAGGTTTCTTGTAAGGCCACTCATCTGTAGTAATTTCAATAATTCCTTCTCATTTTTATCTTTGAACTTTAAGAAACTGAAAAAACAACACACACATTAACTTTTTTATATCCTAGCTTAAGTACCCTGTAGTCTTTACAATTTTTTCTTACCTTGTTATATTTCTGTGTAATACTTATTGTCATAATGCAAACAACGCTGTTTTTTTAAATTAAAAAGTCTTATTTACGTAAATACTAAATGTGTTAAATAATTAACATTATTGCTAAATATCTTAACGATAACTAATATTAGTTTTAAAATGTTAAGAAAATACGATCAAGATAGAAGTGCTAGAAAAGTAAAGCAAGTTTTCTATTATTAAGGCTATAAATGCTAATCATAAATAAAGTCAGTACTAAATTGTCAACAATAATTAACAGCATTACGAAAGTGCTGAGAGTAGGTACATAAATGTTAAAATAATTACATCAAGTGTTAAACTGCTAAAGAGAAACAAAATGAGTTCTAAAATATTAAGAATAACAAAATCAGTTTTGAAGTACTAACAATAATAAATACTATATGATACAATGCAGATACAATTGCACTGTATTAATGAAAGTCAATATGTGACATAAGTAGATAGACAAAAACGGATAGAAAGAGACACAGATATTTATAATTAACAAAGGAGAGAGAGAGAAAATGACACTTACAAATCAGAAGATATATATGGATGTACAGATTACCAACAAAGTTAAAAATACAGATAGGAGAGATAAAGAACAGTGCGATAGGCAGGTAAACTGACGTATAATTAGCTCAGCTAGTTACTTACATCCAGCTGCCCGACACTTGTTTCAGTACAGGTACCAAGCACTGAATACAAATAATCCATACCACGACTGATTTTCCCCAAGTTCCATGAATCTTCATCTTCACACTATATTGAACACGTTTTATTTTATTTCTTACACTATCCTGTGTTACTAGTCCTGTGTATTGAAGTTGCCAGGGTTTTTACACTGCAAGGGACACAAGCTACTTGCATACAGTCTTAATGCGTGTATTGTTATGGCCTGGAGAATTTAAGTACAGACATCAAGGTAAGATTCGACGGTAAAATACATGAAGATTCCAAGATCCTGGAATTTTAAATTTTCGATGACGATGGTCCGGCAAAAAATGTATATTTAAAGGAAATAAACAGGGAAACAAAATTGGACTCTGGGCATTGCGGAATAATCAACATTATTTAGTTTCTCTTTTCTCACTCTACGAAATCTATCAACATCACACGAGGATTGCTCTGATAACGATTTAAAGCGTGTGTCGCGCGTGGACGGGTTCTGTCAGCACGAACGAACACTTCTACTAAGTATACGTTCTGGACATGAGTTTCCAGCTGAGTTTGCGATAAGATACGCCAATAGAAACAGTAGAGGTTTCTTATTGGTGGAAATATCGCGTAAAAATAAGCACACGGAAAAAGATTATGATCTTATTGGTTGTGTAAGTTATACGTCAATTCAGTAATTTCGTCATAGAGTTTGCTTGTTATCACGTCAAAAGATACAGAAACTGCAGATTGATAAATAAATGTATAGATAGAGAAATAAAGCGATAAGGCACCAAATAGTTTCTTTAGGGAAATGCAAGCTTTAGTGTGAATTACATAACATATACGTTAAACGAGCAAACAGTTTTGAGTACAAGGATAATTTCAAGAAAGCTATTTTAAATATAACACATGATCCAGTTTTTCTTTCATATCTCCGCTATATACGAAACCTTATCTTATCATAAAATAAACACTATTTTTTTTTATTTCTAAAATTAAATTAAGCCGCACTATTTGGTTTTTGTGATATATATTATAAGTAAAAGCTGCTATAATACTATACTTAGAGCGCACAGGGTTCGTCATTTGAATTTATACATAATTATTTACACATTCTTTTACAAACATTGTGGCATGAATTCGGTGTGCTCGTACAGATTGACAGGCAATAAACAGAAGTTGGATAGATAGAGCACACTCCAACAGTAGGCTTAAGTTTTCGTAACAAAGAAAAATACTTCATGAAAAACTTAGTTGATTAATTACTTACAGCTCTTCTTGAATAATGTTGTACTTAATATTTACTGACAATATTGAACTATATTAATACAGCTACATTATCAATCTAGAATGTTTAAGTGCCGATAAAGTATGCTGAGTTTAAAGCGAAATGGTGAAATATGAAATCGTATTAATGCAGTTCAACTGTAAAACTGATACAGTAGTTACTGACAAAGCTTGTTGTTCTAAAAAGTATTTGTACAATACTAGACAAGGGATATCTGCGCTAGCCGTCCGTAGTGATGACTAGAGGAATGGAATCTAGCCAACGACATCTACCGCCAACTCTTGGGCTATTACAATCGAATAGTGGGACTTGACTGTCACTCTTATAACGCACACACACGGCCCAAAACACGGAGCGCGATTTTGTGAAGACGTGAAGCGAACCATGGACCCTGAGATTCAAAGTCAGTGCCTTAACCACTAGGCCATGATAACACATCTAGAAAGAAATAATGATATATTCAATTGTATTAATTCAGCTCAGTTGTTAAACTGGTACGTTTAATTACTGACAAATATATTTAATTTACAAATGAATGCTATATTTTTTTATATTTCTAATTTAGCTCAGTATCGTATTCCTTGCTTAGAAACTTTTGATTTTACTCGTTCTCAGAGACATTCTTTAATTAAAATAAAAAATGCAATGCTATCGTTGTAACTAATATTATCAATCCTCTTAGTTTATCTTACTGCCAAGTATTATCAATCCACTTGGTTTATCTTACTGCTAACCAATAAGAGATTAAGCTTCAGTTCACTCGATCCAACCTTAACTCCAAGTAATATCCATTACTCACGTCAGTATCCTCATGTGGATTAGGTTCCAACTCATGCAAACTTTTAACTTTGGTCTAAAAATAACAATATACCTTTTAATCGTCATAACATTTGCAAATTATAAGTTACAACATTACAGGCAAAAAAAGGAGAATACTTTTCTCTTTCAATTGTCTAACTAATTTTGAGAGTTACGAACTTATTTCCAGATCCAGAAAGAAAGTAATGTTGTGTTCCCCTGGATATTAGAATGTGGTAATCCTTGTCAGACTAATCAACCCTACAGGTAACTAAGGATCACAGAAAAACATGAGGATCGAATATTTAACATCCAGGTGCAGACGATCAAGGTACACATGTAGCAACGTGAAGTGAATAAATAAAACAAAAATGGTTTCACAAAAAATCAAATGAAAACAAAATACACATTGAAAGAAATACTTGAAGAATAAAATGAAAATGATTAGGATAAAACTGACCTATGGAAGAACTGAACATAAATGAAAAAAAAAAAACATACAGTGGACTTTAGAACAATACCCCGATTGACCGTAGAGCTAATTTTGATCCAGTTATATTCAAATGGCTAGAAACGAATGCATTATTTCTCTACCCATCAGCGTGTGTTGTATAATGTGTGAGCATTAACCAATACTTGCTAGTTCATACAACTGGCATCGGTATATGTTATTTTAAGCCTGAATGACACATTATGTTATAGAAGGCTAAACAAGCAAGTCAGAGACTCCAGGGTTCAGGCATAGCTGATTCGAGGGAAAGTAATCAGTCAGCAGCATCTGACACGTTACTACTATTCACTAAGTAGAGGAATTAACTGCCACATCCTAACGCTCTCATACCTGAAAGAACAGAGAATGTTCATTAACATATCAAGGCTCGAACTTCAAGCCTTGTGATCTGTAGCCCAACTTATAACTGGTCCAAGATATGAAGATGCTCATATATGGGCATGCTTGAACTTCACAGGACTACAATAATTTACCCATACTTACTAGTGGAACTACAAGATAACAGAGCAAAACAAAGCATGGCAAAAACGTTTTACAAAACATCCTGTAGCTTATAACGTTGAAGTATTGCAATAAAAACACTTTCACAGGAGATTATAAATATATCAAAAATTGCAGGCATAACAAAAGTGAAAGTTATAAGCCAAACATGAAATTACAAAATGAAATACTATAAACCACAATACCAAAGTGAATTATACCGGTTTCAAGCTTAAGATAATTTACAATAATTACAATATATATAGAATAGCAAAGTAGTTTAAGTCACTTTACCTAATCGAAGCAGTTTAGAAAGTTTAAAGTCCTTCAGTTGATAATTTAAGTACTCTTTCCCATGTTTTCTTAACGCAAACAGAAACTCAGAAGTAACAAACAAACAGCAATAACATCCTTCGATATAATTACCAATAGTACCAAAAATCAACATATTTCACATAGTTAATATTAGATACTTTAACCTAAACTTGGGTGATAACACCAAAGTTAAAGAGGAACAGAGTATAATACACATAAAGCTAGTGCAGTGCTAATTCAAGTTAAACTAGGCTCATAACACCAAAGCTAAACAGGAACAGTGTATAACACACATAAAACTAGCTAACACACAGCAAAATAATAATGAGGAATTAAATCAAGAAACACTATGTATAAAAGAACCGGTAACAACAGAAAAGTAGACTTGAATAATGCACTAATTTACATATAGATAACTCACTCTCACTTATTTTTATCTATCTATATGTTTGGAAGAAAGTTCATAGGGTAAATAGAAACACCTAATGGTTATCTTTGGAAGCAGATGGACTGAATCTAATATCTCTGAATGATAAACTAACCATTACAAGAATTCGTCACTTCGAACGTGTAGTACATAACCCAACCAATTCACCCATTTGAATTAGAATTGGAGCTATTTTAAACACGCATTTTAGCGCTTTGATTTCCTTACAGTTCATTTATTGGATCATATGCAACCACGAGAAAAAAACAGGAATGTTGTTTGTTCTTATTAACAAGTATGATACAGTATCAATATGAGAAATATAACTGAAACATGTTAAATTCGTATTTACTAGATAATAGTGGACAGCTGTTTTGTTATTTTTCATGGTTGATAAATAATGTGATAACAGTATCAGATATTGTAAACAAGCAAAGAAATAAATGGAAATATATTAGATCAATCATGACGATCCATTTACGGAAAGGCTAAAACGAAGAATATTTGAGCCAACTGGTGACTGCGATTAGAACTCAACTTAAACACAATGTTAGTTCTGATGGATTAACTAGTTTCAGTGCAAACAAGGCAACGTATCTAATTTAAAACTACCAGTAGCAAAGCAATAAATAAAAACTGTATACAGTAATTTGATAAAAAGGAGAGAATCTTGTTTTGAATGAATATCATCGTATATTACTGAAAAACATATAGAAAGTAATATATAGAAGTCTGGCCGAAAAACGTGTTGCACATATACAGTAAAAACTTATAAATGATGCACTACCTTCCACATTATGGGTAAAGTGCCACCGATAATGACTTGTATTAAAAACATTGGATTCAAAAATGTCGATTGTTTGTTATAAAAATTACCGTGGTAATTCCAAATTCAGAATAATTTAATTATGCCTATTTTCTATTATTTTGTGATATGAATATATATATATACGTATATATAATGTAAACATAAAAGGAAGAACAAAGCTATGATAAAATAGAACACACACACACACACACACACACATATATATATATAGTTTGATTGTTTCAACAGAAGTGTTGTCTATATATTTATATATTTTAAAGAGTTTCATAGTGAAGCACCTTTAGCCTGGAGAAGAGAGGGTGAGATGTTGTTTTCAACCGCAAGTATAATGTCTGTTACTCGGTATCACGTGAGAACCATGTCATTTCGAATCTGTGTTACTTTCCCCCCATATAGTTTTCTATTATTTGCTCTCATTTCTAGTAAACCAAAGTACAATAAAATTGCATGCTAGAGCACCTATGCTAAGTATAGACTTAGCTCTAAATTTTTTTTTCGAAGAGAAAGCGATTTCAGATGTTTTAACCATTCCTCGTGATAGCCTTTCCATCCCAGGTATCATTATATTAGAGTTATAACCAATATTTCTTTAGATATAAACTAAAACTGTTTGCCCTACGACTGGCAACAGTTCATTGCTTGGATGGCAAGGTTTAAATTCTAATAACTCAAATTCATTGCCTTGAATTTGTTATAATTAAAAGCTATCTGCAATGTATTAATCCAACTTACCAGAAGATCTTAACCTTTTTATAAAACAGAAGCATCCTCCCCACATACTACAACACCCAAGACTTTACTATCATCAATGAATATGAATAACTTATTGATCAATTCTTCATCTATGCCATC